TAAAGACAAGGAAAGAAAAGATAAACAAAGATGTTGGTCGTCTGCTTCCCTGCACCGTAAAGGCTCATGTGCTGACAGATTAACAACAGCACATAAACTCTTACTGTTCAGGGCTGAGAAGTCAAGTTATCTGACGCAAACACACACACACACGCAATCTCTGATGGTCATTGCTTAAATAGGAATTCTGATTCGATGGTATTCTTGTTTAACTTTTTTAAGTCTGCATCGTGATCCTCTGGTAATATTGTGCTACACAAACAGAGCAAAGGCTCTTGATAGCAAATTACAAAAAACATCCCTTTTCCGCCTTCAAATTCTTGATCGTTTTCTGAAACCAAACATGATTGTGCAACAGCATTCACATATTCTGGGGGATATGAGAGCCAAGACATGCCTTGTTCTCTCTCTCCCTCTAATCTAGACTCTACCACAGTCCTCCTCCATGGTCACAGTGACTAATATTTACCCCAGTAGTGTCCGTAAGGCAACTTTAAGTACAGCCAAACCACAGCTGTCCTCGCCAGGGCCCGGCAGCCACAGCCTCTAAAAAAAGCACACAAGCAGAAAAAAGACTATGACATCATATATCAAACGGCCGCTGCCCTAACTTCAGACAGCCTGAGCTGTGTCCTCAGGTCACCTCTTCACCTCCTCAGGCAACCTGGACACCGCTCCTGAGCAAAGTTATATATTGTATACAAAGTTTGACCGGACACACCCACATTGAACTGGTTCAGTTCACATGCAGGATGTTGCACGATATCAAAAAGATAACTTTTAACAGGACATTTTTCCAGGTGGAAGGACCTTCCAATAAGTTGTCTGTCTTAAATCAGTAGGAAAGACAGAAAGAGATAACGTTACATTTGACAGTTTTGGCACAAACTAAAGTACTTTTTGTCCACATGAACGCAAAAAAACACCAAGCAGAGCGAAACAAGATGTGTGTCAGTATACAAGTATGAAATAACAAATCACACCCATATGGAGATACACAGCCACGCATGAACACACACTCACACCCCCTCTACCCACTGTCTGGGCAAAGATATCACATTAACACTGCAGCATAGATTTATTCACTGTGTAGTTTCATGTCATTAGCTACCATCAGCTGACTTTCATGCCTTTGTGCGTTCTTTAAATAGCGATTAGACTGACAACGCTAAATATACTCCCCTTGTTCCCTCTTTAATATGTCAACACACATCAAACACGCTGCATATCTTACCAGCTTTCACATTCATTGTTCTATGCAGGAGCCCATGCACTCCTAGTCACAGACAAACACACCATCCCACACACACAGGAAAAAGAGAGGCCTGCCTTAACCCATGTGATACTGGAGCCATACCTCTGGAAAACCTCCAACATGATGTTACATCACATCCATCTGCAACAACATAACAATTTAACTCCACATCAGGAACACACACATGCAGACATGCGTTGATTCAATTTGTACAGGTTTGAAATAGCGGGTTAAAACTCAAAATGACACATCAGTCCCTCTGTCTTCATCAGGTCCATGGTATCAGAAGATGGTAGATTACCGGACGACATACACACAAAAAAAAAGGTGAAAATGCAGGTAAATCCAAAAATGGTAGGCCAGGTGATCTCAAATCCACTGATGAATGTCAGAGATTATTCCACTGTGGGAGCTGTCAGTAGTGGAAGCGATAGTCAGAAGTTGGTCAACTTTGTCTGGACGAGTCTGGGCCGTGGGATGACCAGGCTCTTCGGAGTTTGAGTGCAAGTCTTATATAGACACACTCAACTCGTGGCCCCTCCCCTCCTTCCGTCTCCCATCTGTGCTCTGACACCCCCCCTTTGCCCTCTGCTCCATCCCTTGTACTCCAGCGGGGGAAGAGGGGAAAAAAGTGGTCCTTTTAATCGCAGGCGAAAACTTTAAAGTACCCTTACTCTCACTTTTTAACCACAACAGCCAGAGGGGGAGAGAGGGAGGCAGAGAGGATAACTCCACCCTCATCTGTCTCCCATTCCATTATTTCCCGGTTGTTGTGCAACAGGGGGATGGATTCCTGAGAAGGGAGTCACGGCTCTGTTGTAAAACTTACTGGCAAGAGTGACCCTCTGTGTTTTTCTTTCACCGTTTCCCTCGTTCGCTCACTCTCTCCATTCGTCTCTACTTGTTATCAAAACCATGTGTTTGAGTGTTTCTGCTGTGAGGTCTTGGAGGGACACAAGGGCCACAGGGGAGCGCAGAAGACAATGAGTGAGAGTTCTGACGGTGAAACGAGACCACATAGCTATGATGTAAGCATGTGTGAGTGTAAGGGAGGTGTTTGAACAGGTACCATTATACAGATCAAGACAGAAAGTAAGAAGTTGATCCTCAAGTTGTTAAGAGTGGAATGTGAGCAAGGCAAATAACAAACCACCGTTTTGTAATTGTTGGATCATTTTGAAATGTCTAGACAAATATGTGTGGCCATGTCATAATAGCAGACATGAAATAAGGTATTTCGCTTAAAGCTGATGACATACAAGATGTGAAAAGGAGGCGGATGTTGAGGAGAGTTCGAATTGATGTATGCCAATGGGAGATGAAAGTGAAAAGAGGGATAGAAAGAGGTAGGAAGGAGAGCACACACATCTGGAAACAATCGGATGAGTGCAGTCTGAGGTGCACATGCTTCAGCTATAAAAGAACAGCACGTCCCTGAACTCTGTGCATTTGAGTGAGTGTATAAACCTGTAACTCCCAGATGAGGTAACAACTTCATGTATCCCTGTAAGCAAAACAGCTACACCAATCATTGAGATGCTTCACCACAGCTGATATATATGTAATGCTCATATGTAACTTCAACATGGGGGGAAAATGACTCAGTAACCACATTGATATGTTTAAGAATCCAACATTTTCATTTGGTTAAATTGTCCAAGGAATGTTACAGTACTACACAAGTAGAGCAGCGTGCAAGGATCTGTTATGCAACACGTTACTTGATTCAAGGTTTCCACTGTGGCTCTGCCTCTGATATAAAATTCCTGTCATAACTTTTCTCAATCACGAGAACATAAATATTTCAGCCCTCTTCTGGTGTGGTGTTGTTTTTCTAAAAGGGGAGAATGTGTGGAGAATATGGAATATGCAGAATGGCAAAAACAAATGGAAAATACATTTGTGTATATTCCTGTAAAGTGAGTCATTTTATCAATACGCTGATACATCTAGTTCCCAAAATACATACTGAACTTACAGGATTGGTCCCATATGGCACTTTACTGGAACAAAGTCACTATGAATGCTCTTAGTTACACTTTTGTTTTCCGCCATCACAAATTGACGTCATGCATTAGTAACAACTCGAGCAATAAAGTCTCAATAAATGTGTCTTTAAATTAATTACACAATCCACAAAGGAGACAGAGACCAGAATACAATACATAAACAATTGTCACTTAATTTATTTGTCTGTTACAAGACATTTTACCTGAGAAAGACAGCAGAAATGATTAGATCAGAAGTACTTCCAAAGTATCGTGGTCATGAGTTTGAACTTGGCATTAAGGCCCAGCGCGCATCTGGAATCAATTATGGTATCACAGGCAGGGCCGGCCCTTGGCATAGGCAGTATAGGCGAATGCTAACGGTGTGTCCACACAGCAGCTTTGACCAAATCTTGAAAATCCTGGAGCTGGGCGTGTCTGACAGCTTGGGGATTTCGCGACCAACAACCAATCACATGAATATCACATGAATATCCCGCCCCCGACATACAAAGCAAAAAAACCCTGTTCTTCTACACTATTGTCAAATAGGAAGGGCTATGATGAACATTTATTTTTTTAACATTTTGAACATTTATGAGATTAATGTTTATGGTGCTATTTTATGCTACATTCCATGCTGGCTAATGATACTGTCTATGCTTGCTAGCAACAAAGTAAACTAGCAACGAAGTAAACTGGATATAAAATCCCCAAACAAGCGAAAACCTACCAGTTTCACCCACTGTCTCTGCCACCTCCCCCCATGCCTGGTTCCTCCGGTTTGTATCCCGGTAAGTAAATAGGGACTGGTCATAAAGAACCGGGTGATTTGCTACCGCAATAACTAACTTCTCCTCCATTTTTGTGGAATATAGAAATGAACTGCGGGTCTCGTTCTCCCAGCTTGCACGCGGTTTGATTGGCTAGCGCTTGAACTGTCAGATTTGCATAAACGGATCTGATTGGCTGTCGCTTCCAGCTCAGCCTCAAAAGTTGAACATTGTTCAACTTTGGAATCCTGAACATCCTGGAAATCCTGGAAATCTTCGCCTCGCCCCCCCACAATGCAATTCGGCGACAAGCGAGGGAAAGTGACGTCATCCCCATTCAAAGTCAATGGGCGGAGACGCGCTGGAAGCGGTGGACAAATCGCCAAAAGCTGCTGTGTGGACGGGCCGTAAGGGCGCATCAATCTATGGGGGGCGCCCCAGCCCCAGTAAAAAACAGAGGTTTATGTGAAATAGTTCTTTTTTTGGAAATAATGGTTTTAGTGTGCAATTAGTTTTAATTTTGTGTTAATTTAAAATAAATCAAACTCCCAAAAAACGTATACAGCTTTTATTAACATTGGAATTTACTCTGTAAGCGGCCGCAGGGGGAGAGCTTTAGAGAGCTCTTTCCTGAAAGACTGAGAGGCTCTGATAATAGTATGAAATACTATATGACAGTAAAAAAAAGTTCTTATTAATAAACAAGAATACAGTTTGAAAGGGGAGTGATTTGTAAAATATCCATAAATAAAAAGAAAATCTGTTTACAGTTCTGTTTCAAATGGGTGTTGAGAGATGTATCCATAGATCTCTTAATGTTGCTCTCAAAGTGCACCAGATTCATGCTTATAACTTCAATATTAAACATCCCCGGACCCCCCTAGAGGAAGTTAGGTCCACCCCCCACTTAAATCATGTTCACATGGATAGGATACTAAATACATTTGCACACATCTTGTGTCCATATCTTTCTGTTTTGGTGGTCATGCCACAACCGTGCACGTGCATGCATGCGCGAGTCATAGTGAGTGTCTGCAGGGGGGGGGTGGGGGGCGCCAGCTAAAATCTTGCCTAGGGCAGCAAATTGGTCAGGGCCGGCCCTGATCACAGGACTTTTCTGATCATTAAATAATCAACATTCTTGAGTTTAATTCACAGCCATTAATTTATTCAGCACCTGGGTTTCTGTGACCTCGTTGCTCACTGGAACCTCTTGAAAAAGTCCTGGTAGGCTTGTCTGTGGGTGGACGCAGCAGGAACAAAATGACCCCCAGGATGAGTGAGGACCTGAGGGTCTTGGAAGGAGGGAAGGAGCTCCCTGCTCATGCAGTCAGGGATGACTCGGTCTTCCAGTCCAAACACATGCAGGGAGGGGATCTGGAGGGGAGGGTTGTAGAATTGTTGGTGTTCCTTACATGCACTTGGGAAACCAGCGACAAGGATGGCAAAGTGGAAGCTGAAATCTGGCTCCAGTTTGTGCTCCTGAAGAGAGCACAACATGGCTACAAAAGCTGCTCCCTGACTGAAGCCCAGGATGCCATCAAACGGACCCTGGACCCTCACAGCTTCCCTCACAGCCGCCACGCTGTCATCCAGCCCCAGGCTCTCCTCACACTGCTGCTGAGCGCTGAAACTCCGAGCCTGGACGTCAGAAAACCACCAACCCCTGGAGCCCTCGTCCCCTCCGGGTCCAGAACCTAGACCATTATCCTTCTCTGGAGCTTTTGATAGTAGATAAGAAGAAAGTGGTTATTCTGCTGCGTTAAATTATTATAATTAAAAAAAAATTGGACCAAGTGTAGACAGGAATTGTATTTATCCTCTGTAAATGAATCTTGGAATTTAAATTCAAACTTGTGCAGCTCATGAAACAAGTTAATGTTTTAATATTCTGTCATTTTAATACTTTTTGAATCTGTATATTTATGAGTGCCAAATGCAGTTAAAATTTGCAAAATTTTACAATGGTTTGCATAAAAGCCAGATGATTTAAGCCAAGGTGGAGGTCGATTCATTAAAGAATTGTCTTGTAATAGATTGTCCTACTTGTTGTATCTAATAATGTATTTATAATGGATGAAACATAATAGCAATGTTCACTGTATGCCTATCACTAACTTTATTCATCTGCTTTGTATTTGGCTCTCCCTTTGCATTATTATTACTATGCCTCATGTATAACTATGTCCGTGTAACTCCTTTAGGGTTCATTGTAGAACACTCTTTAACAGCAAGTGAAAACAGGCTCGTCATGTAAACCTCTGAACTTTAACACAACTAGCTTCTTCTACCAACACCTACACAGTGTTTTGGTTGGAGGCAGATGATAACTCACCTTCACTGCTGGCTTGCTGCACACTGTGCGGTGCGCTCATGTAAACGAGCTCCACGTGTTTCTTCAGCAGCTTCCGCAGAGCTCCCGTCTTCTCCCGGAACGAGCTGCCGTTCTGCCGGTAACCGTGAATACATAGGACCCGGAGAGGGGCCATGGAGAGGTCTGCTAACTCAGCTAACGCTAGCCCGAGAAGTTAGTTTCAATTACAGGAAGTGGGATATTAAGGTTAATGTATAAGATTAACACGTTGTTGTCAAATAACCCACAGGTCAGATACAATGCGAAGCATAATGTTGTTACGACAAAAAAGAGTTACTTCGCTATTTAAAGAAAGAAAGTTGAGCGAATTTGGGAGCCGGTTGACAGCAAAATCGGAAAAAGCTGAATGTACCTCCGGTTGTGCTTTTCAAAGTAAAACTAATTTTTCTAGACATCACTACTAATGTAAAACATGTAATCGATATAATAAAGGATAATGTATAAACAATGAAAAAACGTAAAACCTGAATAGAAAAATGTTTAATTTATATTTCTTTATGAAAGGGTACACAACACCAACATTGAAAAACGTAGGCTACTGGACATGAGACTCGTTTGACCAAAACAAGAAAAATGATTAAATGTCACAGACATATGTATAATATTTTGAGTCAGTTCAAAAGTTATTTTGTTATTTTTGTTAATTTGTAAACGTAGGGCTGTTCTAAAAGTGCCAAATGTATAACAGCCTAAATTATAAAAAGTAAAATAAGGATATACATGTAAATATAAAGTAGGCCTATACTCATTCGGTTTTACAGTGGGCTAAATGTATTGACATGTCTGTTAGCATGTCTATGGGCTGTGTAATTTTTCAGTATTTAAACATGTAAAATGTACATATGTCACAATTGTAAAAAAGGCCCTATAATGACATTGTGTTCACACTTGAGTGCAAAAATGCAAATCATTAAGCAGGGTGGACGGATGATTTACAGGAGATAATTTACCTACACAAGGCCAAGGATGTACAGAGGTGAGAGTTTACCCTAATGACCTGGGTTAAGAAGCTCTTTCCTAGTCCCTCCATGTTGGACTACATAGGTGTTTTCCAGATCATAGGGGTATTTATCATTTTGTGTATCTCATGATAATCATAATACATATGCCCAAGCACATATAACATCTAGCTATAAAAAAGTATTATAGCGATATTTAATCAGAGTATATAATCAGTGTCCGAATTTTTGACAGCCTTTTAACATCAAACGTTTTATTTGTAAATGACTGCTTGGCTGCTCTGCTTTTCTTCAGCGGCAGCTCTGATTAACAGCCTGCTAAACATATGGCTCATGCTGATGATGCTGCTACCATCAACAGCAGCTACATACTGCAATGTTGTGATGACTTCTTGACACTATAGGCCTCATTATATGTTCTCACAGGAAAACGACTATAATAGTGTGTGTCCATAATATGCCATTCAGATCCCATTTTATATATATATATATATATATATATATATATATATATATATAAATGTATATATATATATATGTATATATATAAAATAAGCTTGTCAAGTAGTGCTGCAGAGTTTAACTTCTCAGAGTTGAAAGTTAAATCGATGAGAGAAGAAAGTTTGTTTTCTTCGGGCATACTGGTGAGATTTTTTTCTGCACTGGATATTCTACTTTTGTTTACTTCTCAAATTATTGATTTACAAAAAGATGACTGAAAGAAGTTAATAATAAATTAAATAAATGGTGTGCCTATTGCAAGGTAGAGCTTAGCACATTTTTGTAGAGAAATGCACATTTTTGGATTAGTTAGATTAGACATTGTAAGGCTTATTGAACATCCCTTTCATGGCCTTGAGCAACTTTCAGGCTAAATACTGGTGAAAAACGTATGAATATAACCAAGGACTTATAATAACATCAAGGGTTCACAGTATGACTAAATCTTATATCGGCTATATATAAATAAATCCACCTTCTCACATTGATAGCAGAAGAACTGATCTACTTATTGAAACAGTGAGCACTCTCATTTCTTGTGCAGCAGAATAAAGTCAACCGTTGGGAGGCTGACCCCTAAAGACAAAGATGAGAATGCTTGTGCTACAAATTCTCAGAAGAAACAGGTGCTACAATCGGCTATTGAAAATAAAGTGACATTTTTCACTACTTAAAGGACACCTATCATGCTATATTTGAACAATATATTGTAGGGCCATACCTATATAAAATATATAAATATAGTTTTTTTTTCAAAATACCAAACAGATCCTGCATTTTAGCCATGCCTCATTTCGCTCTATTTGCTCTTTCCAGAGCTGTTTTTGCAGGGGGCTGATTCTGTGCAGCTGACCACGCCCCCTGCAGGAGAGGGGAGCGTGCTCTGAGATCAGCTGCTGGGCTGTCAGAAGAGGGGGAGAAAAAGAGATCTCCGTCCACCGTGTTTTATTCTTATAGAAGTAAGAAGAGAAGTAACGGGTCAGAAACCCTCCTTTTTAAGCAGCGGTCCAGACATAGAAATCAAACGGCGACACATATTCAGTTGCCAGTTACTTTGGCATTAGGGCAGGGATATCTAGATACTTTCCAAGGTTTGACATCATGAATTGTGCTACTTTTAAAGCAAGCAACGATGTTTTCAAACCTGATCAGCCTGTCGGTGTTCTTTTCCCCATAATGACCGCATCGCTGCACATTATCCCTTACATATGATTATAGAGTCATTATTCATTTGTTTTAAAGCAGGAGACGCAAACGCTTGCCTCGGGGAGCGAGAAAAAGAGCCACAGCGGAGAATAAACAGAAGGGCAACCATGGCAACCATGCAAGGGAAGTCTTCTTCGCTGCTTTTGTGGCAGACTACATCGCCACTTACAGGCCTGGCATATGTACTACAGCGTCTCCAGCGCTTTCGAGCAGCAATGGCCGGCCGTGGCCCAACCTCTCATTCCCCTGATAGGTGGAGAATTGACCAATAGCCGTAGCGCCACTTTACTGACGTCAATAAAGTGTTCAAATCTGGATCAGTCTGTATCAGATCTGTTGCAGCCCCTTTTTTAGAGATTTGGGTATGGAGGAAAATAGAGAGGGTTGTGTTTTCTGACACTTGGTGAGTTCCCTGGAACACCGGGGACACATATTCATGTATAAAAGACGTACAAAAGTGCATTTTGTATGATAGGTCCCCTTTAAATCTTTCATCTCTCTGCACAACACAAAAAAGCCGAAATGGAACTTTATTTTCAACACAGTAAAAAGTGAAATGCTAATTCTAGGCCACAGAAACAGTTCTCAGACTCTCTTTCAACCCTAGTGGGGGCGCAGTTCTCCCAAAGGACTCAGTCGAAAATACAGACATTATCTTTGATTCAGATTCTCTTTTGACAAACGTATGAAGGCAATATTCCAAACACCGTATTCTCTCTTCAGAGTTGGCATTTAGCTATAGACATCCTAAGGGTTTGGGGATGGTCCAAATCAGTGACAGCCATAAAAGAAAAATAAAGTATGGGGAGAAAATGTTTCCCTTATGGATGCATCATACTGTGGCCAACCTTTTCCTAAAATCCCTTTGCATCCGACAAACAAACAATGTTTGTTTGGATGCAGTGTTGGTGTGTTATTTCTGTCGACTCACATTTATCATATTTGGCTTTTCACTGACAAATCTAAAAATAATATTGACACCGGGGCACACCTATACACAGATGTTTACTAAGATATTTTGTGAATATTTGTGAGCTCAGGCTCATGATAATAGAGCAGGGAGGATGCTGTTTTGTGGATAAAGCCTCAAAGCATTATCATTTTCTAATTCAGGGACACTGAGATGGACTACGTGCAATTGTTTTCTTTGATGATGTTTTTGAAGTGATCTCACATGCAGTTCCTGTCAATTAGCTTTAGGTCTTCTGTTGCTGTGAGAGCACATGTGTTGCCTTGCCGCACATGCTAATTAGGGAAAGCGAAAGGCAAGGAAACAACCACCAAGGGACACAACTGTTGATGTTCTCCAACACTGGTGAGGAGGCAGAAAGCGAGGGACAGAGAGACTTATGGTGAAGACAAACTGAGCCCTCTCTTTAATTCCTTCCAGAGTCTGCTGCTGTGACATATTACTCCCTGGCTGTCCCAGCTCCACACAAAGACATTTCCTGTTTTTCAAAACTCAGCATCCTCGGCATTCATCTCAAAACATAACAATATAATTACTTGCATCATCACATCCTAATATATAACAAGTAATTGAAGAAATCTAAAAATAAGAAGTTAATCACAATCATATTTAGTTAATTATTTGAATTGCAGCATAATATAATATACAATCTTTATTTATAACGTTAATGACATCACTTAATGTGCACTTAATTAGTCTATACATATAACATGAAGCCATATCAAGAATCACATAACTTTAACTTTAACAACTGAAACAACAAGTACATTTATGACATGAGTTGTTATACATTTTTTTTTACAACTGTCTCAAGTTTTGTTTGTTCTATCTATATTTTATATTTGTAATGAATATTTTTTAATACGTTCAGATTTCTTTCTTATTTTTTATTGATAGTCAAATTGTGTTGACTTAACAATTAAATAAATGTGTTGCCTGTCGTATCTGTGATTTATATGTTTTCAATTCAAACAATTGCATTAATCGAATGGATGAAAAACAGAAGAGGCTTAAGGAAGATGCATTATAACATATAGTATATACATATGTAATATGTCATTAAATATGAACATAATACTTATTTTAGAATTAAACAACCAAAATGTGAAAAATAACTTAATATTAAAACAAAACCATAAAGGTGGCATCATGTGAAATATTGAGAGGAGTGTCACGTATTTGTAATTTGCGTTAGTATTTTTAGAATGGCTATGGGTAAAGGTAAATCTGTCTGGAAAAGAGACTTAGAAAAGTTACCATTTATGGCTCTGGGTGATGTGAGGACTCTCATCATGTCTCACTGCAGACCACAGGGGGGCATTGGCGCTCTGTAAATTCAGGTTGTTCTTTTGTACCAGAACGTTTCCCTCCCTGACTGAACACCACCAGCAGGCTGAACCTACCTGTGTGTGAGTACACAAGAAAACACATCCACTGAAAGTAACTGCAGAGAATACTGATCAAGAATGGAGTCATGTAATGTAATTAGGATATTCAGAAAACCCTCAAAGTGAAACCATTCAAATTAAAACTACAGATGGAGAATTACCGTGTCTGTTACAAGATAATCCCATATTTACTCTCATTGTAAAGACAGCTGCTGGGGAACAGCACTGCAGATGATCATGGAGGACACACAGGTTAAGCTTCACAGCCAGAGCCAAGAACCAAAATAGGGGGGGGGGGGGGGAGAGAGGTCAGGATG